ACCACTACCACTACCACTACCACTACCACTACCACTACCACTACCACCCACACGCACACACGTTTCTGGCTTTTGTTCCAGACACCGACTCACCGCCCAGATGGTGAACGTGAAATGCTCCAGTGATGAACCTCGGAGTCTGGTGGTGGCTTCAGTATGCATGAGACTCTCAGACTGAACATGAGAGGCGCAAGACGTGAGCATGGTGCGTGGTCAACGTCGGATCTTTGTAAATATTTTTGAACAAAAGCAGCCTCCAAAAGTTACGAGATCTCCAAGAAAACAGTCTGCTAGGGGTCACTTCCTAGCGCTCCGAAAGGAATGCTGGCTCCTTCCAGTCACTTCTTCGCCGCCCGAGCGCAATGGTTTTTACCAGGGCCCAGCTGGTGCATGCACCCGTGAAAGCTGGTGACCTCATGTCCACAAAAACATGGCCGCCGTGACTTCCAATTGGACCAATACCGGTTATTTGGGTATTTCCATTTTGTGGGGTTTTGAATCTACTTACGGACACACTTTTCTGATGTTCGTCCACCAAAAGCATTCAATCACCCAACAAACGCTTGCTCTCCAACATAGCGAGGTGGCCTGATGAGCACTGTGGCTTCGCTGATCGCAGATAACTTGACCTTTCCCCTGACGGTGCCTCGCAAGCCTCGCAAGCCTCGAACGACGCCCAACTTGGACCTTCGGAGGGGGATTCGGACCCCAACAACTCGGGAGGGGGTCCGGACCCGAAGCAATGCAGGGTGCGGTGGTGAGGTGGAAAGGCCGGGGGGCCGAGCTGGAAAAACCTCAGCTGGTTCAGCTGGGCCAACCGTGCATGGTGCGAACGTGGCCGGTTTCTGGAGAGAACTGGTGGTTTTTCGCTCGGTTCAAGAAAGGATCGCTGCTTGGGGACGGTCGGCTTGGACGATGTGTTCTCCGAGGCTTTGCATTTGGACTCTCTTTTCTTCAGCTTTCAATGCGTGCCTTGGTAAGGAAGAGAAAGACATTCGAGAGCACAAAGAATGATACTGGCTGAAGTGATCGTTTCTAGCTGAGTGCATGAAGCATCACGAAACCACTTTTTGCGAGTCAAACAGACACGCCAGATTCGGTTCCGAGGTGTACACACCGTAGATTCCAAATACCCTGAGAGTCATTTGAACACCTGTAAAATGGTCTTTAGAGTACCTGATTTCGGGAACTTCTTTTACTTCACCGAGGCAAAATCGGCCAAGTATTGTCGAACTCGAGGTTATACCAATGAATTCAATATGCAGTTGTTCCTGCACCTTCACCCTGAGAACTCTATACCTGGATCCTTCAAGCCTTCAATCCTTCGATCGGTGGGTTCCTCGCTGTGTTTGGTGTTCGGACTCGTTCGGCGTCCGAGTCCGAACGCTACGTCTGGCACGTCTAGCTGCCACCTGAAGACTCACCCAGACGCTCCGTGAAACCAGCCCGACTGGTCCCGAACCAAACCATAGGGATTGGTGAGAAGGTCCAGACCCCTCCAGTCCGGATTCGGGTGCGACCCCTCCTTATCACGGAGGGTCCAGACTTCGCGTAGAAGGGGGCCTTGTCCAGACTTCGGACCGTCGTGTCTGCCTTCTGTTCCAGGCTTCGAACCACAATCCTGTGCAAGTCTTCATCCTGAGTGCCTCAGAACAGCGGAGGGAGCAGTGGAGCAACCGAGCAACAGCGGTCCGGAGTCGGTTTTCGAACGCGAACGTCTGGCAGCTTCAGTGACTTTTGGTTGGAGGGTGCGGCAATTGTCCAGTTCGAACGTAATAGCAAGCTTCCACGAAAAGAAGATAAACCATGGATTTTTAAGTAAAGACCGAACCGGAAATGTAGATCCCAGATAAGTCATGAGAGTCAAAGACTATCAAAAGAATACTCCGGGGCAGCATATCGTTGAACTCGACCACGACTTCAAAAATGGTTTGTCACTGTGGCAATGTCAAATCCTTAGTGAAACAATCCCAGTGCATCCCAGTTCCTATATAGAGGAACCAACAATTTGTTCGGAACCGGTGTTAGTCGAACTAACCACTGGGACTTACAACGGAACCTGCCCTGTTGGCCCTGGTGCTTCGACCCGGTGGGGGACGTCGCGCGTCTCGCGCGCGCGAGGTGGCTATCGCTTGACCTTTGGGCTGGCGCTCTTGATCCCGTTGGTTCCTTGGGCGGTGGAACCCGAACCCGTCTTACTGACCCCCCAAGAATGCGGGACCGCACCGCAGCGAAGCGCGCGGGAACGAGCACGAGCTGCGCTGCTGCGTTCACGGTCACCGAGGGGGAGGCCCAAGCATGTCCCAAAACGGTCTGACGGTCTGGGTCTGTATCCTTTTAACGTGTCCAATTGATGTAGAGCTGGGATGTTCGACTTAGAAGCATACTTCCGAAGGCCCCGAAGCATACTTCTGAAGCATACCTCTATAGTCCTATAGTCCAACATCCCGGCCCGGGAACAGCAATCAGATACCCTAACAGATAGGCGATCCGAGTGCACTGGAATCTCCCCAACCTTCGGTGGTGCCACGAATATTTGACCTGGACTTTTAGGGCATGCATGACCCTACAAAGACAGGTAGATCTGTACCCGTTTGACCCGAGGTCGAGTAACACACGGGTTCGACTCCAGGTCCTTGCAGCGAACCCCGTCGGCTCCAGCGGCCCAGTCCCTTTTCACCCCGTCGGCTTGAGCCTCGAAGAGATGTGAAGTCCAGGGCGACCTTTTTTCAGGAAAGTCGTAGACGGGTGGACTAAAGGAAAGTCCTGTCAAACCATCCAGTCAATCAGCACCAGCGAAGGTGCTAAGGAAAGTCCTGTCGATGGTCAGCTTTTCCCCCAATGGTCTCCTGTCGTGTCCTGGAGGTATCCTGGAAAAACCCCGGATAGTCGTGTAGGGTAGTCTATTGGACACCCATCGGGATGGTCCTGGTATATATATATATAATATGGTATATAGTTGCATATATCATATGCACATCACATTGCACGCGACATGCGACATCTCCATCTGCAAGTTCGTCTTTCCATGTCTGTTCTGACAACACCTCTACATGGAACCTGCGGTGACGAACGTGCCCTTTCCTGCAAACGCGGTGTGTGACCTCCGGTGGTTCACCACCGGTGTCCGGTCGGTTCACCACCGGACTTGGGCGAAAAGCACCGGACCTTGGAAGCTGGTACCGATCTTTTCCGGGGGAGGTCGACCGCCCCCGCCCCCGCGCCCCCTGGGCGCGGTTCCGTCGCGCGGTGGGCGCGGACGCTGCGAGGTCCATGGTCTTTGGTGTGCCTGGCGCGGCCTGAACTTCTTCACATGTCATATGCTGACGAACGTGGCCTCCTGGAGCGGAAAGAGTCTCCAGGGTGGCGGTCGGCCGATGCCAGTTCTTCTCCGGGCGAGCGGAAATCCCCGAACGGTCCCAGTCTGCTTCCACCACAGGTGAGCCCGACGAGGACGAAAGTTGATCCCGAGAACTCGAGGGCTCCAGAACCCTTAGGGGACCGAGGTTCGGGGTCGTTTCCGTCGTTTCCGCCGGGTTTCCGGACCTTTCGACTCGACCCAGACGCGCTGGGCACGTGGGTTGGACGAGACGGGGGCGTTTTTGGTGTCGTGGTAGGTGGTACGACCGGGGCCCGGGTGCCAAGTCGGGTCCGGTCAGACCGAAACCTGAGGAGGTACGACGGGGTCGGCGTAGGCTCAGATTCTTAGGGATCTTAGGGCCCTAAGAATCCGAACGGGCTCTCCATGGCAGGGGTCGGACCCGACCTCGAAACGCAGGGGTCCGGGCCCGAACCAAACCCTATGTGTTGGGAACGGGGTCCGGATTCTTAGGGGGTGAAGAAGCTGTGTATCGGAGCTTTTGACCTCATCGACCGCTCAAGTGGTCCGGATCGAGTGGTCGACGTAGTTGGAGGATGAAGTTCCTGGTCGTCGTTGGGAAGATTGTAGTTGATGTTGAGAGAAGTGTGGATTCTGATAGATGTGACCGGGTGTTGGCACCCTTTGTCCGTACCCATTTCCTGGTCGATGGCTGCACTTCGGCACAAGACAGAAGCCAGCTTCAAGATCTGTGCTGTTTCTTCAAGAGTTGATGACGTGACTTCTGAAGTCTAGAACCCATAATATGGATGTGTGGCTGAACTAGGGAGACCTCCCAGGCGTTCCGACCCCCCTGCAAGATACTGGGTCCAGACCAGTCTCCCTAGCAGGGCCAAGGAGTCTCCGTTTTTCCACCCAGGTGCTCTGACTCTACAGGTCTCCGAGTCATGGAGGTCTGCATTTTGCAGACTTCAAGGGACCTGTGAAGTCGGGTGGCATCATATGACCTGATTTTGGACCACCCTCCCAAAACAAGGCCCAGACAGTCTGGACCATTCTTCTAGCAGAATGGTCCAGGTCATGCGAAAAAGAAGGGTCCAGAAGGGTGCGAGTGGACAGGAACTCGGTCACCAATTGAGACCTGTTAGGGTCCAACAACCCTCAACTAACAGCCTGGCCGAGTTCGGGTGCTGGTAGACTTCAGTTGGGTGCTGCGCTCCGTTCCGAGGTGGGTAACTGCATGCTCGCCTTTAGCACCAACCAGCCCCTGGGACCAGAATCCGGGACACAGCACCAGCTTCTTTTTTGGTTTGAAGCATGACCTGGAAACTCAGTTCCCAACCAACTCAGTCCGTTCTGGTTATTTCAGTTGTTTCATGTTGTTTCATGATGTTCTTGAGACTATTTACGAAGTGACTCGGACTGGGGACACATCCGGACATTTCTGGTTGGGACTGTTTTTTGGGTCCGGAATCTAGGGGGATCTTCGTTTTCCGTCCAGGAAAGACGATGCTTTCACCATGCTTTGCTGAGTTCAGCGACCCAATTTTTGAGATTCCTGAAGAACTTGGTGCCAAAGAGCGTCGGACTTCTAGGATAGATTCGGAGTGTGGACTGTAAAGAAGGGTCTTTTCAGGTAGAAGTCCAAAGCTATTTTGGGCCTCACCCTCAGAATCCGGGCCAGGTTCGCAACCCGGGTTCGGTTCCGGTACGCCCTGGCGTTGGTTTGGGGCGTGGTGGCCTAGGCTACAGGGAAGACCTGTTGCAAGGACCAGGTGACGCTTCGAGTCGTTCGAGTCGGCTCAAGAGGGCCTTCGTTTCACCATGCTGCACCGTTTCCCAAGAGGGCCTTCCTTTTGCACCAAAGGGAAGAGAACACGCCAGCGTTGGCGTTCGCACTCAGCACACATCCAACAGAACACGGGGGGACATCGATGGACCTCTTCTACGCTGTTCAGGTCACTCGGCGCCTGGTCACGAGACGAGCCCTGAACCATCCACGGGTGATCGGCCGCTCCTGAGGATGCACAATCTGCTGACGCCCTTTGTGTGCAAGCATCATCCAAATCGTCTCTACACCGTCAGTGGCTACACAGATGCTTGGCAACTGACCTATAGGGAAGTCCCTAGCCCTAGCTGGGCAACGGCGCTCGCCCAGCGTTGGGGTGGAAGCCCGAAAGCACCATTCGTTTTAGGAAGGAGTTGGGCACGACCAAGCCCTGTTTTGCCTCGTTTTTCATGGTCCATCGGACTTTTCGGAACGTTGATCAAAACATATCAAAACCCTGGCAGTCTATGGAATGGTCAGTCTATGACAGTCTATGTCTGATGCCGTTCGTTTGGAAACCAACACGTAGGAGAAGGAGTGATGGCCACAGGGCTGTGGGTTGCAAGAATCTCCTGTCCCTTGCTGTGATATTTCACCCCAGAGCACAGCAGAATCGAAGACTTTTTCAGGCAGGCTCGCCTGGGAGTCCAGTCGACTATTTTAAACATGGTCGGACGAGTTCAGGAAGTTCCTTTACTTTGTTAGTACCAAGCGAAGGAGAGGATTTCTGGACACCCGGTCCCAACCAGAAACAAGTCTGGATGGACCTCCAAACAATTGAAATCCTTCACACACCCTAAGAATCCTTGGGCTCTCCATGGCAGGGGTCGGACCCTGACACCTTCGCAGGGGTCCGGGCCCGAACCAAACCCTATGTGTTGCTTCGGGTCCGGATTCGATATGGGTAGTACCACATTGTCATATCGTCGACCCAGACTTCGGGACTTCAATAGCACACGTGCTTATACTGTAAATCTCTCTGAAGGTCACTGGATGGTTGGGTCGGGGACATGTTGGGAGTTGACATTTCTTTCAGGTCAAGCACCTGACATGTTCTTCATCGCTAGCTTGGAGGCCATCGCTAGGGCCATCGACTTGAAGAAAGATCCGTGGCCCTACCAAGCCACAAAAAGCCATGATACCTCCATGCGGGTATTACCTCCAGCCCCTTTGAACGGATGAGATGTGACCTGCACCGTGGAATTCTCACGTCGAAGAAGAGACATGTGGACCAAGAGCGATGGTCTGGTCGTCCAGTGGTCAATGCTCAATGCAAGGAGCCCGAATCCTCCAGCCTGAAAGAGGAGAAAGTCGACTTGGACAAACACCGAGAGGTCTAGTCCGAGTGAATTTCGGGGTTCTGAATGGTCTCACGCCTCCTGAATCCTGAAAACTGTCTGGACAGTTTTAAAGAGTCGGAGTGAACAGCCTTTCTGCAGGATCAGACTTTCGTGCACATCAACAGCTATGACTCTGACCAAGCGTATTTTTCGTTGAGAATTCTTCAGAAGTCTTTCTTGGAGCAATCTGAGTGATCTGCCAAGGAGATCCTTTGCGATGGCAATGAAGCCCACATGCAGATGGTCGTTTTTGGCACCTTTCTTGCACGGAAGTCACGGAAGGGACTTGTAGTCACACGTGGTCTACTGGTCGTCACACAGGCCTGAACGGGAAGGGACTTCGATCGGGTCTCTCAAGGTGTGACTGCAGCAGAGTTCCCAGGCACGACGCCCTCCTCAAAAAAGGAAGCCATATCTGGTTTCTGGTTGGGACTGGAAGCTCCAGGTGTACATGGGTGTGTGGGAAAATAGGTTTACCCTGGTTTACCGGAAAAACAGACCAGTACCCATTGAGGAGTGTCTCGCCCATATAGCTTGACCAATAATGTCTTTAGGAGACACTTCCACTCTTGCATCCCTAGGCTTCCAACCACCAGATTTATATATGTACATAATATGCTTGGAATCCCCAAGGCACCATGGGGGATTTGACGAAAACGAACACATCTCAACCATCTCAAACCATCGTGTTGGACCAAACCAGCAGGATGACACCAAAATCAGACACTTCTCTGCCCCCATCGGAATCCATCGGGCATAGTTCCATCGCCCCCCTTCCGCGCGGATCGCAGCGGCCATCCCCGAAGCTCCGGGGAGGGGAGGGTCGGTCGATGTCGACGCTTGGGACCGTTGGGGACCCTCCGTGACCAGGAACCCCCGACCCTGGGGTCAGCCTCCAAATCGGGAGTTGGAGGGAGCCGAGTCGAGCGTTGGAGCTGATGTTTTTCAGTTTGGTCGTTGTGTCAGGTCTCTTGGGGATGCCACTACCACTGGGCTTCGTGGCCCTTTGCGACTTGGCTTCGTTTTTTTTTTTCAGGGCCCGAGTGGCCCAACAAAACCGGCAACGAACGTGGTCACAAAGCAGAGAAGGACGCTGCATCTCTCTCTCTCTCTCTCTTTGATCGTGGCAGCGGCCTTGGTCGGGATCTAGGCTAGTCCATAAGGCTTTGACCAGTGCGCAGCTGTCCCTTTTTGTGCGAAGAAGAGAAGGACGACGCCCCTGTGGGAAGAGAACAGGTGCGACAGTTGGAACCCAGCTACGCAAACCCCAACCCACCGAGATGGCTGGGTCCAGGCAGAACCGATGTGAACTGAAACCAGTCTGAATGTAGACTGCTAACGAATGACTCCCCTTCCCCCGTTGCCAGAATGGTTTTACATCAGGCCTGGGAAGGTCTATCTAACAGTCCACCTAGACCGTTTGAGATAGCTGGACCAGATAGGACCTTTACATTCTCCGAATGGGGCTCATTTGCTTGAGCCAAAGAGAGCGAAACTATCCATTGGACCCTCCATGGGGGTCAGACCCGACTTCTTTTATCACGTTTTCCAGGGCTCGGTTCGTAAAGAATGACCCGGATCTGGCGTCCGTCCGCATGGAAGCAGTCCCTCACACAGTTTCCCCAGTCCCAGTCCGACCATGTATGATATCAAGGACCTCTTTGCCAATTTCAGGTAGTCTTGATGAATCATACCCCCCCCACTTCCGGCTTTTTAAGTCTTTTGAATCCAAATGGGATGGTTTAAATGAATGGATTTCGAGTCTCACATCGAACGACCCCCGGGCTTCACAGGGTCACCGGGCTTCAGGGAGGGCTTCAGGGAGGGCTTCCCGAGGTCTGTGGCTGCTCTTCTCGGAGCTTCCCAAACGGATGCTTCGTGGAGACATCAGGCCGGGCGGGCGACGTTCAGCCGGTCCGCGGTGGGGAGACATGCACGCCGCGGGACAAAGCCTTCCGCCCGAGATGACACTGAAAGCGACATGCAGCGACATCAAGCTTTGGACACATGTTGGGCAGCCCCAACACTAGTTCCCTCACGAGCACCTAAATTGTGGGAGTTTCAATGCCCCAAGTTGTGCGCGCCTGGAGGAAAGGATCAAGGACACTCCTACGTTCCTATTGTAGAAGGAGAGAACATCCTCACCACCATGTGCAGTGATAGGATCAAGCAGGGAAATTGGCAGAACCAACTCTTCTTGGATGTTTCCTAGAAGTCCAGTTGACAAAGCCATTTCAAGAATGCCCCGCCCCCCCCACACACAATGGGATCTGAGCTCAATTATCTGGGTGGGGTGCTATTCACTAGCTCAACGCAAGCCAGAATTAGCAGGCCGCTTGGGAACCTCACAAATAGAACTTGATAGGCAGTTGCGGCAGTGGGGCAGAAAGGCAATTAAACCCTTGGACTACTAGTAACAAAGGGATTCGCTACGAACGTAGCAAAAGGACGCTACGAATGGGCTCCTGGCATTACTAGTTACTAGTAAGCTATATTGCGATCGCCCTAGGACTAGGAGACCTCAGCTTACGAAGTAAGAGCTTCTGACTGGCTTTCCTTCGAACGTGCATGTGAACGACTCAATGGATCATGACTGGCATCCGGTTCCCATACACTCCATGTATGGAATATATGCCTACATTGGGCCCTCAAACCACCCCAATGTAGGCATATATGGCATACATGGAGTGTCTGGGGTTTGTAAGCAAAAGATCCCATTTCGAATTGTGTTGCCTCCCCAACGCCAGACGTTTGGGACCACCGGCTTTGCGATTCAGCGGTCCACAGCGGTCCACAGGTGGTGGGACTCCCCCCCGCTTTCAGCGCCGAACGCGCCGACGTGCGTGCGCGAAGCGCTGAGAAGAGACTCGTCGCAGGTTTGTTCGTCGCTGCCACTTCTTGGTCGGGAACTTCCGCCCTGGAGCTGAAGTCTCTGTTGCATCTTGGACTGGTCGGGAGGAGGTTCTGCTGTGATGAGAGTCAGGTGTGAGTGATGTGTGTGTAAATAAAGTCGATCAAGAGAGATTGATCATGAAGACCAGGGATGACCGGGATGACCTGCGGATTTCTGGGGAATGATGTTGAAGTACCTTCCCCTCAAATTCCAACAGCCAGTTGTTTGATTCTACTTACATGGTGTATCATGGTTTGAACTCTACAAAACCAGGTGGTTTCCCATTTTTCAACCAGAACGCTCTCATGTTGTCTTGGAGGGTCCAGTCGTAGCGAACCTGAGGTTCGGTACGACTGGATTTGTAGGGTAGGTGGGGTAATGCAGACTCTCGATTCATCAATCCCCCAGTATGGAAGAGGTTTTTCCATCCAAAGCCCATCATTTCACACTTCAGTTTTCTTTCTTTCGGTGGCGTGGGCGAAAGTCGGTGCGGCGGTTTTTTGGGGGGCAGCCCCCCCCCAGAGAGGCTTTTCCACAGCCCTAATGTCGCCTAAAAAAATCATATATCCTATCCATTCCTATCCCATATGTCATACCCAGACACTCCATGGGACTGCCATAGATGCCGCCCCATTGACCCCCTTTCAACCACCCCGATCGGCCGGAACTCTCGGCAGTCCGTCCTGGCAGTCCCAGCGGTCGGTCGCGTCTGGGAGTCCTGTAGCACGATGTGAATCGTGTGCCAGTCAGTGCAGGTTCCCACCCATCCCCATCTGCCGCATACCCAAACAGCAGTCCGCTACCATGGAGAGGATGGGTTTGACTCAGGAGCTGGTTTTGTTCGCCTTGTGAGAGGCAACTCTGGTTCCTCAGGCCATTTTCATTGCTCGTGGAGCCTTGTCTTGCTTCGTCGACTTGGTCCCCACCGTCGCGGGCAAGGCAAAGCTCCGGGCGGTGACGCGGTGACGCGGTGACTGGGGCGGTCGCAGTGCAAAGGGAACTTGCACCTTTAGCAGTCCTAAGCAGTCCTAAGCAATGCTACTACTACCTTACTACTACCTTACGACCCTACTACTACTTTAAGATGAGAAGGATGGGAAGCTGGTGTTCCCCGACCTGGCAAAGCTGGCTTTCCGACTTCCGAGGTCCAGCTACAGGGCTAGGTGAGCTAGCTTTGGACACATATTAGCCCTCTTTGGTCCTGTCTCAAGATCTGGTGGGTCCTGCAGCGTCCTGCAGGGTCCGTGCAAAGTTCATCTCTCCCGACCACATTTCAGGGCATGATCCTAGAACCATCAAGGATCCTCAGGGTTCTATCGTGGATAGTAGACGGCACCCATCGTTGATGCCAAAGCAAGAACCAGCGGCATTCCCCCGTGCGGGCCTTCCATCGATGCTTGAAACGGAGCCTTCCATCGTGGCCAACGAGCACCAAGTCTTGTAAACTCGGTCTGTTCCAACATCCTGCTCGTGGAACACCAAAATGATGCTCCCACCCAGTGGCGCCAGGTGTTGTGCATGAATCTCTTGCTCCTCGTGAGCCTTTTGCTCACCGCCATTGGCAAGCCTTGGCGCTCTTCCTTGTGTCGCTCGGGCCGCACGGAGCTCCCGGGTGGATGCGACGGCGGTGTCGTGGCAGACACAAGGGACCGCTTCCGTTTGGGTAGATGGTTTTCCTGAAGTCGCTCTTTTGCAAAGACACCGGCCGATTTCGTGGTGGAGTACTTTTTTGGACACCTTTTAGTGTTCCACTATGAAAGACCAAAGATGTTCCTTGTTACGGTTTTGATCCGTCTCGATCCGTCCCAAATAGCCCCCCTTCCGGACTGATGGCTCTCGACCGAGGCAATGCCTTGGATCTGACACTGTTGGTGGGTGTCTTGAATGTACTGGACCTGGGCTCCTATCTCATTCCCGAACCTTGGCCAAAATGACGCAGCACCAGCGCTGCCACACTTTTAGTGTGGCAACCTGGGATGTGGCAAGTTTGGAGAAGAGTCTCACAAACATTGCTAGAACTTGGCACCGGACCTGATGCACGTACCAGACCTGATGCGTGGTGTCGGGTATTTGTCTCTTCACCGCCACATCTATATATAGATATAGCATCCTGAAGAGGAGTGATCGCACTATATAATAGTATATAGTCTAGTTCTTTTTTCCGAGCGAAACGACCCCCCTGAGCGTGTCCGCCAGCGCCGGCGCAACGACGCAGCCTCTTGAGTGACGCGGAGACCCAGAAATCAAGTAACTTGACCGAAATGGACTGCTTTAAACATCTGGCAACGCTTTCTCCATCGGTCCCAACGGTGATGGGTTGCCGATTTCCCGGCCCCCCCCAGTGGTGACTTCTGGGCGATCCACGCGCTGCCACGATCTCGATCCACGCGCGGCTAGGGGGTCAAACGCAGCGGCCCCAGGGGGTTCAAACGCACGATGCGGGGGGGCCTGATCTGGTTGAATAGACTGGGGAGGTCGTCCAGCTACCGAGGGGGGCTCCGGGTGCGATGATCCAGACCCATACCCATTACGCTCCCTGGGACCTGCCAGGACTGACTGCCGCCTCAGACAGACCCCCCGCACACCCCACCACCCCGATCGGCCGGAACTCTCGGCAGTCCGTCCTGGCAGTCCCAGCGGTCGGTCGCGTCTGGGATGTGATGTGAACATGTTGGCTGGTGAAAGCTGCGAAGAGTCAGGAATTGGACGTCCAAACTATGGCGAACATTTGCATGGTGACAGCCACGTTGATGGTTATGGCCACGTTGAGCACTGTCATCGGCTGCATCATCAGGCGAGACAAGACACGGGACCCGGGTTTGACTGGGTTGGACTGACCTGTGCCTGGAAACCCAGTCCTAAATAGTTCTGGTTGTTTCACCTATGGCTTCCTTGAGATCCTTTGCACAACAATTTCGTTGGGTTTGGCGAGTTCCACGCAGACTTGTTTCTGGTTGGGACTGGGGACGTGGATCATGTGGATTAAGCGATTCGTCGCTTCTTCCCAGACACGCGACCAACGAAGCTGTTGGACGGCTGATCCCGCGAGGTATGCGATTCTACAAACGCGGAAGCAGTACAGGCGGGGCCTGGGGGCCTACGGACTGAGGGTTTTCTGTCTGGGAGGGCGGAGGTCGCAGCGGTTTTGATCAATGTCGACTGGACAGGAAAACACGTTTGACGGGCTAGAGAAGCAGTCGCGTGACTTGAGCATCACTTCCGGGTGTGAAACACTTCGTGGTTTCAGAGGTTCGATGGCACCAAGCGCAAGAGCAAGAGGTCTTAGACAGAGGGGGGTCCATATAGACATATAAAGCATCGAACTTCAGGATGATGCCATCTACTCTCAACCCACAATAGGGACCGGCAAGGATGGGAAATAGACCTGTCTACCCCAGGGAGTCGTCCTATTAACTCCTATTATTAAACTACACCCATACCAGGACCCTCCAAGGTTCAGGGTGTTTGAAGACCCACAGCCACGTGGTGAACCTGGGCAACATTTGTTGCCACCAGGAAACTACACCCATACCTGGAGGGTGCTGGTATCTGAGAGCTTTGGGTCGGCGCTAGTTGCTTGAGAATGGAAAGAGGAAGGACGCCCACCCTGACCATTCCTCACAAATTCCTCGGTCGCCATGTGACTCATGTGACTCAATTGGCCTTTCAGACCGTTTCGGCCTTGTTCCCGACATGTGGCTGAATCTCAAAGTACACTTCCTGAAATCAGCATGGAAGTGGAGTGAAAACCACCTGGAAGTGGTATTCGGAGACTGGTCATCGGGCTATGAGATCGGGCTACGCCACTCATGAGCATCATGAGCAATTGATTATGTTTTGCATTCACCAGCACCTTTGAGCCCCCATCATACACACACACACAGACACAGATGCCTGTGTTCGCAGTGCGAAACAGTTGCTTCGAAACACTGGTGGTGAGGTCAACAGGGTCTTGATCGACAGCGGAGCATAGAGAAGACTGAAGAACCACACCCTAGATAGTCCAATTCGGCTCTTTTTGCAAGTACAGGACATGCCTGAACTTGGGTCATCTATATAGTCAGACAACGTTGACTGGACTCCAATGGATAACATCTTGAATCAACTTGAAGCACAGTTGGTTGGGGCCGTGCTGTCGAATGTTGGAGGGTATGAAGGATCCTGACCCTGACCGGTCTTGCTTCAGGTCTTGTTGAAGAAGAAAGAACCATTGGAACTTGAATTGCAGTAAGTAGATGTAAACAGGACATTGATGGACATTGCAACCTGTTCAGAGGTTGCACCATGAGTTTCGTGTTTTCATACCTGGATCTTCCAATGACATACAGAATGTCAATTCGGCTGGCCGCAGAAGAGTGTCCGGCAGAAATGCCCCAAGCGAATGTCCAACAAGAACGTCCCACAAGGCTGCCGCACAAAATAGGGTTGGAATCGCGAAATTGGTTGGAGTGTTGCTTGATGCTCTGATGGAGCTTCCCGCTTGACTTCTGGGTTTCAAGAAACATGCTTAAACAGTTGGTTTGGAGATTTGAGGTGCGACCTTTGCTTGACGCATGAACTTTGGACTAAAGTCTCCACAAGTCAACCCTCACGCCTGGGTTCTTGAGGGTTTTGTGCAAGACCTCCAGACCTCCAGAGACACCTGAAGTTTACAAAGTGGAATTTTGAACCAACATCCTTTCCCTAGGGCTCCTGGCCCATCTCCTGAGGTTCGGTGGTTGGGGTGGGTGCGTTTGGGGGCTCTAACCACCGAACCCTGAGGAGATGGGACGATGCCAGGAGCCCTAGGGTTTAACACGTCAAGGAGTCACAGGAGTCACAGGTCGCTCGGCCTGCCGAACGTAAGGAGGGAAGGAGGGAAGCACCGGTCAGCTCACCTCCACCTCCGTCCGTGCGGCCGGACGGATGAGACTGACGGACGTCCCGGGACCCGGGCCGCTCCATGTGTGACTCCGATGGATGAGAGATTCTGAAAGGACCCGGCTGAAGTCCAGGAACCGACTATATTTTGACCAGCTGAAGGTGTCAGGAAGTTCCGGAACTCGGATCCCCGTTCGTCAGACCATTCTTTTTATTGTTTTTGACTCCCAGGGAGGAGAGTTGAAGAGTCTGAAACAAGCAAGATGGCCGCCGCTTCGACAGGTTCTACATTTCCTCTTACACAGCTGCCACGGGCAGCTACGCGCGGATGCTGAAGATGGAGTTCGAACACTCAGGCCGCCTGGCTAGAATGACGAGGCCCAAGCGAAGGAGAGGATTTCTGGACACCCAGTCCCAACCAGAAACAAGTCTGGATGGACCTCCAAACAATTGAAATCCTTCACATACCCTAAGAATCCTTGGGCTCTCCATGGCAGGGGTCGGACCCCGACACCTTCGCAGGGGTCCGGGCCCGAACCAAACCCTATGTGTTTGAGGGTCCGGATTCTTAGGGTAGGAAATGGCTGGGACTGGGGGAGTTCCATCCAGAACTCTTTCGAAGCTGGTTTTCTCAATCCCAGCCACGAACTTGTGAAGAATCTCTTTCGGAGCTTGGAGCTGGCGAACTGTTTCGAGAACCGGGGGAGGAGTCCAGAACCCCCCCACCGACAATCGCGCAGAACGCCGCGGCGAAACGGTGCGAAGCGGGCGGGCGCCGGCAGCGGGTGCCCAGGGCACCGGGTGCGGTGCCGAGGGGTCCGATGTTTTTGGGAAAGCCAAGAACTTGCTCTTCGAGCGAAACTGGTCGAGCCATTTCCACATGGCACGTGACCCGACCCAAAGTCAGGTCGATTGGTACGAACGGGCCGACTCCAGCGACAAAAAACGACAACAACTTCACGGACGTGGAGGAACTCCAAGCTGTTTCCTTTGCGGTCCCATACCGTTGAACAACCTTCACACCCGTGCATGTGTGAGATGAGATGAGACAATACACCAGGTCCGTTGCAGATCTGGAGGTCCTGAACGGGACCCCCAATGGGCCCACCACGTCCGCTTCCCTCTTTCTCGACCCAGGTCGGGGCGTCGAACGCCCGGGTTGACTGTGATTTCGTGACGGGGGAAATTCGGTCACGGGATCGGTCGTGACCTAGAGTCACTCGGTGGAAGATCGTCAGTTCTTGGACTTCGTGAAAGGATTGGGGTTGGAGGCCAGGCCCGCTCTTAGGCTCTGGATGCTTGGAGGCCATCGCTCTTAGGCTCTGGAGGCCATCGCTTTGGGGGGTTTTAGACCCTTCGACCTCGCCGAACTGCGCGGCACGCGAAGAAACGGCCGCGCTTCGGCCGATGCGGCGTTTTTCCACAGGTCTCAGGGCCTTCTTGGACGCCGATGCAGCCAAAATGCCCTCGCTGCAGGAACGGCTCTCTATTCTGAGCAACTGTACCGAGTCGGGGCCGCACTATTTGTACACAGTGGGCGACAGGTGACGGGACCGTGATAGGGACCGCGATACCGTCCGCTTCCGGCCGTGCGTTGGTTGCGGTATTGGACGGCTTCCGGGCGTGAAGGAGAATTGAATGGTTATGGCGGAAAGACCTGAGCTAGTGTACTCAGGAGTTTACCCGATGAACATGGGTTTGTTTCCTTTAAAAGGACAGCCAAACGGACTTCCAGGGATGATCATCTACCAGCTTCTTCAGTTTGTGGCCGAACTTGAGAGTTCCAGGGAAAGTGACCCAACTGCGAGGCTGACCGAACTGGGAGATCAGTCTGGGTCACGTTGAAGAACCACAGGGAGTGGCCGTGATTCGTGCGCTTCATGAAACTGGTCAATCCACATTGGAGCCATGGAAAACACACAAAACATCGATGAAGCAGTTCCAAAGAGTTGGGCCAAATGAAGGGAGGAAGGAGGTTAGGTGCCCAGAAGGCACTGCTGTCGACATGGCACTGCTGGCAACAGGTGTTATTGTTTTCCAAGTTTTGTGCAGCTTGACGTTTTGCCGGGCTTAAAAGGGACAACCTAAACATCACCTCTATGACGAGGCTAGTTACAGAACCTTTATTTATGGGATGGGTGCTGGTTTAGATTGAACCCTTGTGAAGGATCTGAACCGAAACGCCCCAAGCCCCAAGCAAGACTGATCGTATACCAAATGTTTTCTTCCAACGACATGCCGAAATAGTATTTAGATGTATTTCGTTAAACTTGTTTCTCTTTGGTGGATGAAACTGACAGACATTTAGCATATCTCCCAAGACTGCTGCTGTGCAGACCGTGCAGACCTCCACAACCTCCCAAAACGGCCCACCTAGCACTTCCTGTCTGGGTGCCCCTACTCTGGAGACCTCTTTACGTAGAGCAGGGTAGTCGGTCTCGCCAGCACAACCATGTCCATGATCCTGGCACGTGCCACCGTTCCTTTTTTCGGGCTTCAATCGGGGGGGGGGGTTGGGCCATTGGGAGTGTGTTTGGGCGAAGAAACCTGCGCCTAGGAGACCGTGATCTTCCTGGGTACGAGAGAAGCCTTCTGTCAAATGACCTGCATCGGTGAGATGGTCACCGCACACGTCCACGATCTCCACTCAGCGCCTCGTCGTCGCTTCGGGTCACGGCACGAGAGCTGACCCGAACAGCAACGATGAGCCGCTTCTTCGTGAAGAGGTTCAAGAACAGCAACAAGCAACAGCACGATAGGATTGGATGGAAGATCCGTTCTTCCTTCCCCCCGAAAAGAGCCAAGGTTGGAGATTGAGAGGAGGTCAGGTCTGAAACTCATGACCCATGTGAGGCAAGGTCCACCCTGCTGGCCTCCAAAGACCATTCAACCCCAAATGCTTGCCCAGCACGCGAAGTCTGGACCCTAAGTGATCAGGAACGGGGCCGTTTTGGCCTCATCCGGAGCTGGAGGGGTCCGGACCTTCTCGCCAATCCCTGTGGTTTGCTTCGGGACCGGTCGGCCTGTTTGTGAGGGGTCGCGTCTGGGTGACCTGGTTTTGTAGTGCAATCCTTCGTGAAACAAAGGGTTGCCCGGTAAAAGCCATGGGTCCGATGTTGGATCGGGTCGGATGTGCCTCGACATGCCCGGCACAGCTAGCATGCAGCAGCAAAATGCCGTGAAAGGGATGGAAGCAGAATGAAGCAAAGCCCAGAAACCCTTGATCACCAACTCTCCCATACAATTCGCCATCAACTGTTGAGGAGTACTTTCAACCCTTGTGTGTCGCATCATCCACATGGTGTTGTCGCAGAATGGATTAATTTTTCATCATCCAGCGTGAGGGTGTCGCAGAAGGCGCCTGGCGCCAGGTGCTTTTGACCTTCCCCAGCTTCGTGGAGCCCTGGGAGATCTTCCACGATCTCCAAAAGATCATCCCTGACATCATGGTGGGCGCGCGCTCGCTTTCTCGCGGTCGCGGTCGCCGGCGGGGGTCGCCGAGCTCGCGGTCAGCTGGGGGGTGAAACCAAGCATCTTCCCCATGAAACAGGGGAGCCGTCCGGAGCTGGAGTCCCCCAACCCATTGCTACTTCCATCGCCGTCATCGCGGTGTCCCGGTGTTCTCTTCACCGTTGCTTCCCGCCAGCGGCGGGAAGCACGTCCGCTCACCTCGATGGTGCAGTAGAAATACCACCGGTTTGGTGTGGAACATGATTCACCCATATTGACCCTGTGGCTCCTGGCCCATCTCCTGAGCTTTGGTGGTATTCGACCCCGGCACCCACCCCAACCATCGTACCGAAACGGAGGTGGGCCAGGAGCCTGACCGGGTCGATCCAAGTTCCTCCAAGCCACGTCGATCCGTGATGTGCACCCAAATCCTCCAGCTTTGGGTGTCCTGACTGCACATGAGGCAACCTCAAAATTATCATCAACCACTTTAGTAAGGGACGTTTCATCTCTGTGTTGCTTTCGTGATTTTCCTTGAAAAACGATAGGGGACTGACAAAAAACGATACCCCTATGTATACATACTTGCAAAATCCAAAATAACAAGGAAAAGATAGGGGACTGACAAAAGTGAAACGAAAACACTCCAAGCATATATTTTTGACGCTAACTCACATGAACCTCAGCCGGACATTTCCGAACGGTCCAGACATCCAGTTCAGACTCAGAGGGACTGAAACGGTATCGAAGGTTTGAGGAATGGGTCTCTCCAGACCATGTTTTTCCATTTTTTGATACCCATCTTTGATGCATATCCTTAAAAATGGAAAACACATAATATCATAATGGGTAATATCCTTACAATATCATTACATAATATCATCATATCCTTAAAAACACCATTTGCCGGAAGTTCCTGGTCTTTTGGATGTTTATGGGGTGCCGAAGAACATTCGCACGCGTCTGGGCAACAGCTTGCTGAAACGAAACAGCTTGCCGGTGGTGTCAGGTTCGGTCAGCCGGGCCAGCATCCCATTCCACTTACCCTAAGAATCCGAGTCCGGGCTCTCCATGGCAGGGGTCCGGGCCCGGTTCCCAAACCCTGTCTGTTGGGCCCGGATTCGATATGGGTAGGATATGGGTAGAACGACAGGCAGACGACTTCTGCCGAAGCGCCGAAACCCGGGTTCGGCTGATGGATGCATCAATGAAATGCGGCAGGAAAGGTGTGGATGAAGGTCAGATCCAGGTCAACCCAGCCAGGCAGACCTCGACCTCAGACCTCCTTGGGTCTCGCTTCGGCCACTCGGCGTCTGACACGTCCGGTCTGAAGCCCGGCGTTCGGGTTGGAGGACCTGGTCTCGCTGCGGATTGGCTTGCAGGCCGGGGGTCGGAGCCGAGGGAGGAAGCACTGAGGAGGGAGGGAGGTTTGGGGTGTCACCTTTCTACCAGGATACTCCCTAAAACGAATTGGAAGCCGTTGCTGGAAGATTATGTTCCTTTACAAGGCTTGCTGAGTGTCTCCAAGCCTGGAAGGGTTGATTGAAGCGTGGTTTTTGACGCTCCTCTATAGTGAAGATTCACCAGCTTTACAAAAAGGCAATGGATTCCTGAGCCTCTACGCTTCCAAACGCCATACATTTAATGCTTCTTGCCGAACCACGAATCTTTTACTAAGGATCTTGCACTGCGAAAACAGTTGGTTCCATTTTAAATTTAACATGGTCTTGGACTTCCAGGGGAATGCATACCAATGCTATAGAGCTGGTTCAGAACGATCTTTTTCCAGATGGCCCTCTAGTAGCATGGCACTTAGGTGGTAGAGGAACATCATCATGGCACACCCTCTTGTTGCAGGGTGGCCGTGGTTCGTTTCGGGGATGTGCGGATGTGTAGAAGACAACCTTGCGCGCTTGGGGGAAACATAGAAGGGCCCGAAGGCAGCTTAATTCAGAAGTTTTTGAGGGCCCGAAGTTAAAAGACTCTCTTTTGCCTGGTTGTGAAGGATTCAGTTGTGGAGGTTCCCGAAATCAGGTCCCCTAACTCGTCAGAACCTCTTTCTCTTTTTGACCGTACTCCGACCGGGTCGGTGGTTGAAGTGGGCCGACCCCGTCGTCGACCCACCTGTGCTAGGTCTGGTCCACGCAGCGGAAGTCCGACCGACACCAGGTCAGGTCCGTCCACGTCTCCCGGATCCCGGAATCCGAACAGGCGACGCCTGCAAAGCAGCATCCTCAAGGAAGAAGGGTCTGAAGTGGACTCGACATCTGCCCAAACCATGTAGTTCCATCCACTAGCACTGAAGTCAACCCGGTCTCGATAGAAACCGCAGAACATGGGTACAGATGTTCGGGTCATGCCCCATGCTCTTTTCGGTACGACCCCACCGGCAAACCGTGTTCTTCGCCACCTACCCACCGTCCGCGGCTTCCCCCACGACCGGACCTTCCTCTCACGTGATGTGAGGAGATTCAAGATGCCTTCCGCTGGGTCGTTGGGTTGGAGAGCTTTGCGATCTCGAGCACCATGACAAAGCAGTGCCTCCCGCAGGCCGCGTGTCGGGGAGGAACTGGTCTTTCGGTCGAGGGCGAGGCAGATGAAGGACGGTGAGAAAGGGGGTGGTTTCTGGTTGGAGAGGTGGGCGGTGAAGATTAGCCCTTGAAGAGTGAGGGGAGGGCCCACGTGGCAAGTTTGGAAGGAATCCTTGCCTCTAGCTGATGCGATTTGGAGGGAGCGATTCGGAGCAGGGGGTATCCGTGTCCGTATCCGTTTATATCAATTTTCCATTCAACAGGGAGCCAAGGCACTACAGGGAGCTCCCCAACCCTGACAGCTAGACTATGCTAGACTTGGTGTTTCCAAGCTGACCCCTTGTTTTCTTGGTTCAAGAAGCTCCTCTCTCCTAGTAACAAGGCCATTACTAGTTACTAGTAACTAGAAGCTACTAGTAACAAAGGCATCGCTACTAGCAACAAGAGCATCGCTATTGGTAGCTAATTTGCTACGAGTAACAAGAAGGTCACCAACAGAAGGATACCTGCGACGAGGACGTGCCACCGTTTTGGGCGAAGCTGGGTATCGATGTTGACCCTTTTCTTTGAAACGACGTCTGCATCCTCTGCAAAAAGTCACTCATTTGCGATTCTGGGCATAGATCTCCTTGATCCTTATATGTCACCCCCCAAGCTGTGATGACTTTTGGTGATCCAAAAGGCAGTGACGAATGTTGCAAGAAATTCTAGGGCCCGGCCACCCAATCTTTTTTGCTCAGTTTGCTCAAGCTGCGGTAAGCTGTGCCCAGGTGGTGGCCTTCTTGGAGGGGCACAAGGTTCAGTTCCGTCAGCGAACTGGTCGGTGTCGGTTTGGAGAGTTGAAGAGAGTCCAGAATCATAGGAAAGCCGAGCTGGCGAAGGACCGCTTTTTCTTCTTTTTCCTGGGTGTCTCAATGAGAAGCTTCTGCCCATTCGGCTCCGGAATGCTATCATTGATCATCTCAAGAGGGCGGCAAAGTTTGGAGCAGAGGACGTTCCTGAAGCTTCCTGGGTACCTCCCAACAGAGGACGTTTGAAGCTGGTTTGGGAGTGAGCACATTTCATTCACCCAGACGCGAGGGGTCCGGACCCTGCTAAGTAGAGGCCGGGGCCGGGGGGCCGTTTGGCCTCATCCGGACTGGAGGGGTCCGGACCTGAAGCCAATCCTAATGGTTTGGTTCGGGACCGGTCGGACTGTGAGGGGTCGCGTCTGACGCCCGGTGCTGCTCGGTCGCCGGTGCTGGGGACCGGTCTACCAACCTGATGGACACCTGTTTTGGAGCCCAAACCATGGTCTTTTCCTATCTAAAAGGTCACATGGGTTCTAGGTATATTTATATATATATATATTATATAATATAGAATTATAGAATATTTGGTTTTTCCTATCAAAACAACGGTCAAATGGGTTGTAACAGTAGGTAGTAAGAATATACCAGGACCATCCTGTCGGGGTGTCCTGGCTGGACTACCCGGACTACCCAGTGCAGGGTAGTCCGGACACCCAGGTCCTGGATGGTCCAGGTATACTTGGTCAGACTTAGAGTCGGGACTCCTTTGGTGCCACTGGACTCCTTCGGCTTCGACTTCTCCTCCTTTCTCCGCAGGAGAAGTGTCGACTGGACCTTGACAAGGACGGGCCTTTGCAGAAAGTCGCGTTACTGTAAGCACTTCCGTCTTTTTGAAAAACAACACCTGAAGAAAAATACCACTCACGAAGCATCACCACCACGGAAGTGTCTTCTTCAAAACCACCACCTGAATCCACCTGAATCGAAGCTGAATCGGTGAAATCTGTCCCCCAAAGAGCCCACTTGGGCTTGGGGTCTGTGCATACTGTGCGTATGGTAGACATGCAGATATCCATCTTTTTTTCAATTCACTTGGAGAGGGTCACTGTAGCCTGCCGAAGTCCTTGAACGTGAGGGCGGAAGCTGTGGACACATTGGTGAGGGCGGAGGACTGTCAAGAGCTTCCTGGAACCCCAAACAACCAGAAACAAATGGTTGTTCCAATATGGCAATTGAAATCCTTTACATGTTTGGGGAAGCATCCATTTATCCATTTCTTTCTGGTTGTTTAGAGTTCCAGGTTGGTGCTTCCCTTGTTTGTTCAACTCTCGTTGTTTAGAGATCTAGCTATAAAGAGTTTTTGTAAACTTTTTGCGAACTTGGCGCTGGTTCCCCTTCTTTTTTTCTTGAGGTGTTTAGACGTGTTTCTTTTTTATACCTTAACATTTTCCAGTGGGAAAGCCGGTGGATTGTGGAACTGGCATGTTCTCTGCTGGAGCCACTATTCTGTGCCTCACAAAAGTTGAATATAGACCTGCTGTTCATTCAAATCCAACCTGAACAATTCCTCTAAGTATTCAGGCTCTGATGTGTTTGGGTACTGCCACAGGCGGACAAGCCGCATGCTGACTGACGCTTGGTGAGCAAAGAAGCAGACTCCTCTTCGGTGTGTCCACTCAAAATCAAGGACCATACGGCGCTGGGTCAAAACCTGGAGCCCGGTTGACTCTGGTAACGTTGACCTCACGGCGAGTCGATTCTGTTCATTATTCCGTGGTGGTACCCCTGTGACCCACAGCCCTTTGGGTCACCGTGATCACCCTTCAGGTCTTCAGGTCTTCAGGGGGGAGTTGCCACGTCCCTTGTTTGGGACCATTAGGGGCACATCGGCGTGCTGACTCCTGACATTGGTCGGATCTCCACTCTGAAAACATGATTTGTTCGCCAGCTTTTTGCCCAAGTGCTTCCCCGAGCGTTTTGGGTCATGGGAGAGTCGCTGAGAGTAGTTCGATACTCCCGGGGTGAGGTGTGGGAAACAGGAGCAAAAGTCGGTGAAGCCGAACAACCGACCCCGGTGTTTGAAGTCTGGTCTGAAGCAGCTTCAACCATTCTTTGGCTAAGGAGTTTGGACTACAAAACCATGGGTGAAAAACAAGGGTCTACCATTCCTTTACTATATAATGCTTTGATGGGTGCCTGGGGGCTGGAGAAGGGTTTCTTTGCACCCAGTAGACTTATGAAGGACCCTGCGCATCCAGTCTGACCCAGGTCCAAACCTGGTCCGACAAATCCTCATTGAGTATGTTGTTTTTCCCGAAAGCATTGCGAAGGGTTCTTCCGGAAAATCCTTTGAACACTGACACTTCGACACTGACACTTCGACACTCACACTGACACACACACACACACACACTGGAAGAGCGAAAGCATCCAAGTGCGAAGTATGCCAGTGTCAAAGTATGCAAGTGTAAGTATGCAAGCATGATATGCAAGGGTGAGTATGCAAGCATGCAATGACTATGCAAGCATGCAATGAGTAGGCAAGTGTGAGTATGGAAAACTAGCACGGGAGATGTCCTAATGAAAAAACATTTCCCCACTTTATAAATTCTCTCTTAAAGGCGGAGTGCGGGACGAACAGCGTCAACCGAAAGTGCAACCCTCTGCGGAGATCGTGCGTGTCGAGTGCGCGAAATGCAGGCGAGAGTGCGATTTGTCCGGTCCGCGCGCAACCCTCTGCAGAGATCGTGCGTGTCGAGTGCGCGAAATGCAGGTGAGAGTGCGATTTGTCCGGTGTGCGCGCAACCCTCTGCGGAGATCGTGCGTGTCGAGTGCGCGAAATGCAGGCGAGAGTGCGATTTGTCCGGTGTGCGCGCAACCCTCTGCGGAGATCGTGCGTGTCGAGTGCGCGAAATGCAGGCGAGAGTGCGATTTGCCGGCTGTGCGCGCAACCCTCTGCGGAGATCGTGCGTGTCGAGTGCGCGAAATGCAGGCGAGAGTGCGATTTGCCGGCTGCGCGCGTAACCCTCTGCGGAGATCGTGCGTGTCGAGTGCGCGAAATGAGAACTGGCGACTTTGTAGTACAACTTTAGTACGCGGAGTATCTGCGGAGCTGGAAGATGAGAACTGGCGACTTTGTAGTACAACTTTAGTACGCGGAGTATCTGGGGAGCTGGAAGATGAGAACTGGCGACTTTGTAGTACAACGGAGTATCTGGGGAGCTGGAAGATGAGAACTGGCGACTTTGTAGTACAACTTTAGTACGCGGAGCAATCTGTGGAGCTGGAAGCTGAGAACTGGCGACTTTGTAGTACAACTTTAGTACGCGGAGTATCTGGGGAGCTGGAAGCTGAGAACTGGCGACTTTCTAGTACAACTTTAGTACGCGGAGTAATCTGTGGAGCTGGAAGCTGAGAACTGGCGACTTTCTAGTACAACTTTAGTACGCGGAGTATCTGGGGAGCTGGCAGATGAGAACTGGCGACTTTGTAGTACAACTTTAGTACGCGGAGTATCTGGGGAGCTGGAAGATGGGAACTGGCGACTTTGTAGTACAACTTTAGTACGCGGAGTATCTGGGGAGCTGGAAGCTGAGAACTGGCGACTTTGTAGTACAACTTTAGTACGCGGAGTATCTGCGGAGCTGGAAGATGAGAACTGGCGACTTTGTAGTACAACTTTAGTACGCGGAG